CCCCAAAACCCCAAAACCCCAAAACCCCAAAACCCCATGGAGCTTCTATTAATTGAATTTATTTGCCAAATTTGTATGAGAAATCCAACTTTAGATCTACTTGTTCACCTTTTCTGCCTTGTATATCAGAAAGTATCCCATGCCTTGTATGACAATCAACGAATAAAGAACAACTGCCATTAAGCTGATCTTGTTGATCCCTCTTGAGAAATAGTTCTTCTTTCCCACTCCATGAATAACTGAACTATACAAATGGTTAGAATATTGATAATAGTGTCTTTATAGCTTGACAATTCATGTTTCTTACGCTCCTCCTTTATTATCACTTGGATCTATAAGAAGTTAAGATACTCTGGATATCACAAGATACTGAGTGTATTGATGAATAGACAGCATATAACAATATTTCTTAGAGAATACTTTGTAACATATTGAGCTCTTTTGGATGAAAATGTAATAATTTATCAACCCTTGTAACACTTGTTGAAATAAAACTGCTTTTAATGAATGTCTCCAAGCAGTAGTTATAAAGTTAAAAAATTATGAGCTATTATTCATTATAACTTACTTTTGAGGTTGTACTTTAAATAGAACGAGCCACCTCCCACAGCATTTATTTCAAGAAGTTCAACTGGCTCTCAACTAGAGCAGTCTTCAAATATTGGGCTTAACAAGTTCGATCTCTTAATTGTTCATATTGGACCTATAAGACAAAAATGAGGATAAGATTGCTAACTGAAAAGCTAGGCGGAATCTAGTGATATAAAATTTTCCTACTTAGCATAAAAATAGAAAAATTATGAATTTGGAACTACATTTTATCCATTAAAAACAGTAGAGAAATAGAAACTTAGAATGCTTGAGTAATTAATGAAGCAAAAATAATATATCATGTTGGTATTACCATCACTCCCAGAAGTTGTCATTGAGCCACAATCATCTTGAAGATAATTTTGGCTGTTATATGAAATTATTGGCATCCTTATAGTAAAAGGTTTGGTGATTGAGTTAATCACATTCTGATAATCATCAACAAGAAGTACGGACACCATATCTGATTCTATTGAATAGTTACTAGAGATATATGGGGTCTTAGGAGGAATCTTCCACACGATTGAAATCACTTTGATCACTGCATTCGGATCAGTAACTTCTGAACCAACAAAGAAGTCATTAGAAAACTCAAGGGTGATATTTTGATTAGCGTTTATAGTGTAAATAGCTCCATTTAAAGCACTCGCTATCACTCTTTCTATTTTGAATACTGCAGATTGAGTGTCAAACTCAAGCATTGGTTCAGATTGAAAAACTCTACTGCTAAGCTTTACTAGGTATTCTTGAGAAAGCACTATGTATGAAATCTAAAGCTTACAGAAAATGTCTGAATACTTGTCTAAAGCCTCGATTTGATCATTCTGATTTAAGATACTTATATTATATCCTCTGTATTCAAGGCTAATCCTGGTCTGAAACTTACTGAGATGTTCAAAGAAAACAATAGAGAAATAATCGCTTACAGTTGAATGTACTGAAGCTGGCATTTCAATAACAGCTTGGAATACTTGGAATAAAAGATTAAGTTCTGTGAACCGAACTGATTCAATTGATGAAAGTACATTTCAGAACTGGAAGAAGTCATCTTCGATATTGATTCTAGAATCTAAAACATTTTTCATTAAATTTGAGTAGATTTGTTTCAAAGTTTCTGGTATTTTATCTTGGAGAATAATAAACTCATTGCTCGTTGTTGAACAGTCAATTGAGGAGTATCCATATTGTCACTTACAATATGAACCTGTTCTTGTTTGAGTGCATATTCCTTCATTTTTACAATCAGAGTTATAAACACAAGAAGGATAGAAGTTGTAGAAACTAAGCAAAGGACTCAAGAGTGTGTTCTCAGCCCCTAAATCTTCATAAATTCTTCTCTTTCCAATATCTCCTAGTGTATTATTGATCACCATAGTTTGATTCAGAGTTGTTGAATAATCTTCTTGATCAGTAGCAATAATCAGAACATTCACATCCAATAAAGGCACTGACGAAGATGAAAGTATTGGGAGCATTGAGCTGAAAGACTTCTTCTCCCAAGAACTTGAGTGAATAGGTATCCTCCTACCATCAGATAGTTCAAAGAATATAGCAATGTAAAGTTCCATTGACTCAATATAGGTATCATACCAGTTACCAGTCAGATCCACTTTGAAGTCTTCTAGAATTTGTCAAGGAGTTGATGGGCAAGTAATAGTTACTCCACCAACAGTTGGAGGAAAATCTCTCATCAGATTGATCTTGGAAATGGCTCGATCTCCACAGTCATTAGTAACTTCTGCTTTAATCTTAAATATCGTTCCAGAAGGATAGTTTGCTAGTGTGTTCTGATTCAGTGATACCTCTGTGGTCTCATTGACATACTGATTTGTCTGCCCATCAATCAGAGGGAATACATTGGTCAAAGGATCATTAGGATCTGCAACTGGAAACTCTTGGGTGAATTTTGTCAAAGTTATATTGCCTCTCTTGTTGACAATGTCTAGTCTCAGCCAACTGTAACCTCTATTTTAAATTTAATGATATGATCCAAAGAAGTAGAAGAAACAATTTTTAAAATATTTTTGAATTACGACTGTTGAAGGAGGTAAACAATAAAGGAAGTCATAGCCACTGAATTACGAAACTTATGGAAATGCTCAACCTTATACAAGCATCCAGAACTCTATTTTTGCGATACTCTGGCAATACAACTTATTTTGAACAGTGGAATAAGAAAGGTATTTCTGTGCAGATTATTTAGAAATATCTTTCTAAAAAAGCATTACAAACAAATTATTAGAGCAATAACAATTATTAGAGACAGATTCACTGGCAAAAGTGTAGTAAATCATACAAATATCGTAACTATTATTTTAAGAACAAAGGAATACATTTTATGCTATAATATTTGTTGGCAACCACATATGTTACCATTAACGAGGATCTAGATTTTAAGACTCCTGAACTTAATCTCATGGCTTTTTAATGGAATTTATATTTTAAAAGCTGATCGTTGTTATTTGCTTGAAATAAGGGTTTTATTCATTCTTGTTTAGCAATCGAATTTTTTACACTTCTATATTACTTACTTAAGTGTCTTTGATGTTTGGATGCTCACCATCAGATTATCCTTTGAATAAAAAGAACTTGTCTGACACTCTGGTTTCGATGTTATAGTCGCTACATCATAATACTCGTTCTGAACACACTTATAATGCTGATAATCTATTTTAAAGAGTTGTTGATCTCATTGGTCTACTCAGGCATTGTCTAAGAGGAATGGATTAGGGAATTCACACGCAGTTCATTGAGTCAAAGAGGGGCCAATACATTCTATGCATCCTTGGTGACATTTAAAACATTGTTTTCTACATTTTGAGAAAGAAAATACAAGCTTTGGTAATATCCTATTGGTCATTCTCTCACTAAATTCACTCGTGTGTAGTTTGCCAAAGGAGCCTAGACTAATTATGAAAATAGTACAGATGAAGTCTCTTTAGCTTCGATGATATTATTGTATTTCAGCATTCCAGGAAGTCCTAAACTATAACACTTTTCTTTTATTGGGTCATAAAAAGGTTGGTTATCGCCTAGGAGTTACGACAAAGATATACTGCAGACAATTCATTTGTAAGGGTCATCTTCTGCACATATTTTTCAGCCTGTATCTCATCCAATGGTGCCAATTATAACGTTATCCAGATGCTCAAAGAAAGTACCTAAAGACATTAGGCATATATTAAGTCAAAAGAGATAAGACTAGTAAAGGTTACTTTTAACTCTACTTCAAAATGCCCTATAATTTTACTAAAGAGATTACTCGGCTGTATCAGCTCATGGAGAATTTCCAGTTATAATAAACTTTGATGCTTTAAAAATGAAGTCAGCGTATATTTGTGTTCCAGTTTGGCAATCCTTGCTCTATAATTCTAAGATAATAAATTTACATTGAAATTAGTGAGGTACAAATATTTAGAGATCTTGTTAGCTATTCTAATTGTTCCAGTCGGATTTTGGCATCCTGTCGTCTTGAACTCAACCCAAATTCTATAATTTAGATTAATTTTACGAATTGATTCCGGCATTATCTTTTGTTGAGGTAATTTGTGTTATGTTATGAAGCTCTAATCTGGAGCTAATGCCAGTCATTCTAATTTTCCTATAGCAAATAGAGTCATTAATATTTAGAAAAGGCTAGAGTTCAAAACTTACTTTCCCTTAATTTTCCCTTCAGGGGCGGGATCAATCTAGAAATGAATAAAGTAAAATACTCTTTGCTCTGAAAAGTATCCATCAAATCTTGCTGTCTCGTTAACCAAGAAGTTATAAGTCGACCCTCCACTTGTATAAGTCAACTTATTTGGTTCGAATAGGATAGAGAATGCGCTTCCAGTCTAGGAATATTAAAGCACGACATCACAATGATAAAGTAACAAAAACTTACATAGGCTTGATGGATTGAGCTAAAGTTGCTGACTGAGCAGATGGCTGTTGATGAACTAGGAACTCATGAAATGTTTACTAAATCTTTACTTGATATATTACTTTGTATAGATTCAGAGAATGTAATAAGAGACAAGTTTGAAATTATTTTAATAGAGCTAAATTGGTTAGCTATTATTACTCTATAGCTCTTCCATCTGTTTCCAGCTTGAACCAAAACTGTTCTCCTGGAAGTATATTTGCATGGATAGGGTGGCTGAATTCACTAATTTTTGCACTGCTTTGTCTAGCTGCAGTTCTATCAGTAACAGTGATTGAATAAGTTCCATTCATATTTTGAATTCTAGTCCAAGGTGAATATCCACTAGGGGTGTCTCTTCTCCAGCAAATATGAATGGAAAATCTATTGAATAAACACATTGGTTACTTACGGAGTATCTGGAAGCCAAATATATAAAGAATCTGGACTATTACTTGGAAATATTTGGCCAACTTTATTCATAATATCACAATCAGTAGGTCCCTCAACAAGCATAAATTCATCATTAATTTGGGAGTTTTCCCATAATGAAAACTCCTCAATATTCTGATTGAGCTTAAAATTAGCTTTGTTATTAAAAATTCTTGGAGTCTCTCTTACAACCCAGTACGAATCACTAGCTTTTATGTAGGCTTCATAATTAAGCAAAGGGGATTTCCAACATATTGAATAATCTCCTATTTGATTGAACAGACTGGCATCTAGTTGCTCAAAAGTTCCATCAGACTGTCTTTGGATCTTAACATCTCCTGGTAGCACATTGCCACAGTCCTTTGAGAATGCAATTATTTCAGAGTATAATGATTTTTCAATCTATATAATTATGATCAATCTAAAACAGAAGCATACTTGGTCTCCTATCTTGTCTGTATGATATTTCCTTGCATTTACCTCAAAAGAATAAGTTTCACTAACTCCAAGTATTGAGTCCCCATGATCAGGAAATACAGTTGGAATATAAACATCAATCCTATTTGGGCCTAGAGATAAACCAAAAAATACCTAAAGAGAATGCTTCCTTTGTGGAGTTATGGAAGTAAAATATGTCTTCATGTTTTTCCTAAATATTATTCTTTAGCTTTACTAGTATTCTTGAAGATGATTTCCACGAGTGAGGGAATGCAAGTACCTAAAGAGTAATTCAAGTTTATTACATTCTCGTACTTTCAGAAATATAGCATTTTGTAATCATAAATATTCTAAAAGTTAAGAACATATTTTACAAAGATCCCTTGACCCGCGGTTATTGGAGTAATTCCATTGTAAAGCATATTGTGGTTGCTCTCAAACATAGACTTTGAGTGGTATACCTTCCCCATTTCTGAGAGATCGACGAAGTTGCATTCCTTCTATTTCTTAGAAAAAGATTTACTTCAATTATATGGAACTGACAAAAATTTAGTGGATCTAAAATAGACTTTTCTGCAATGACTCGATTGGTATCAGCAGTGACTTTAGTTCCCTTTTTGAGATTCAGATCATAAATAGTTTGTTCAGTATCCGCCAGACCTTTTGGGGTGAGATCATTGTAAATAACAAAAGCGTAAGATAATTCTTGCTCATATGTTGAAGCTACTCTGACAGGCAATCTTAAGGCATTATCTAACATTTCTACTGCTGTAATTGGACCTTGATATACCAAGATATTATTGTATAAACCTATAAGTTTAGCTGAGTTATATACCTGTAAACATCATCTTCTCTGAAGTTAAGAGAGAACCAAGGTAATATGAAACTGGGCTTATCAAAGGAAAAGTTGATACATTTTTAAAAGCTTGCTCAGTATCAAAGCAATTAAGATACAGATTTAGTGCTGACAAAGAAATTTGATCTTCAATTCCAGCTAATGTCCTTGTTACAAAATGCAAATCCAATAATTCTTCAATCCTATTGGTTTTGAAAAGTGACACTCCAAGGTACACCCATTCATTGATTCCAAATGTCGAGCCAAGGGTATAATTTTGAGAGAAAGTGCTGGATTGTGGATCCCAAAATTGTATTTTTACTCTTATGGTAGAAGTAGAGCTATTCAATATGCCAGTTATCAGCATTGTCCCTAAAATTAACATAAAGCTTACCCGAAGAAGCTATGGTGAACTCATTGTTTGTTGTTGAACTCACTTTTACCCATAATGTCATCGTGAAATCTTTTTTTTGCCAAAGATTCTCTCCGAAATATGGAATATCTGTAACTCCTTCTTGAACTTTAAAATGCTTTGTCAAAGATTGTCAGTTTATTTGACTTGACTTTGTGCGAGCATTCACAGTATCAACTTTCTGCAAGTAGTCATCAGAGTTTTCAGGACATGTTTTGACACATTTCTTGTCATACCTGGCAGTCAGTAATTCTCCACATACAGATGCTCATGTTCCATCTGCTCCTAAGAATTTTGGACCAGATGATTGGCTTCATTGTCAAGTATTCTTAGTCACATCAATTACTTTGTCAGCATCTCAACTTAGGCACCCAGTTTCTGTCTGATCAAAGCAAGTAAGGCATGACTTGTGACAAGGAAGACATATGTCAATATCTAATTCATCATTGATATCATCTTTTACCTGGAAGAAGTTATTATCTCAGGTTAGCTTGCACTCCCCATTCTGAATTTTGTATCCTGGTGAGCACTTGAATCAACTATTAGAGCTTCACAGCTCACAATTTAGTTTCACACCACTGCAAGAAGCAACAGAATCACCAATAGTGAACAAGGCAGAATTGTTTACCGGCTGGGTGATGAAGACTCCTCCTCCCTGATAGTCATTTTGCTCATCTCGTGAACTCATAAAAGTAAATATGGGTTGGTGTTTGTTCTGAATTCCAATAACTAATCTTTTCGGATAGTTTTCACCCAAGTCATTGACTGGATCAGATGCATCATAACTCTCAATCTCGAGGATGTTTCCATCGTGGTCTGCATAAATTATCCCAAAGTTAGTAACAGAGTTCTGTGTAGTGAACGAATTTGATGAGCTCAAGTCTTTGAATCCATTCTCAATATTGGCAAGTATGAATACTCCAAGGTGATTTGCTGTCATAAAAATTGGTCGAGATTGGTCTGAGCCATGATATCTCTTTTTGCTCAACTCAAGTCCTGTTCTAAAATCAACCATTTGAATAACAATGTTTTGATTCCCTCCCAAAATTCCGCCAGTTTCTTGATAAAGAATGAAAAGAGTATTCTGATATACATCAGTAGAGGCTAAAAGATATTAAATGAGGCATTTACCAAGAGTATTATTCTGATCTGTGCCATATCAAGTTCTCCAATCACTAAGCAATTGAATAGCATCATAAACATAGACTCAGACCATTTGGTTATCATGTCTATAATTTCTTGCATCAAAGTCTGAATTTTGAATGTCTCTCAACTCAAAACTATTCCCATTATTTAAAACCTAAAGTATAAGGAGGGTCAATTGCTTTCATAAAGCAATTTTAAATCTTACCACAACAAGTTTATCTGCCTATAGTAAGAGTTAGCTACCAAACAGAAGTTGGCAAGGAAATTAAATCATGAAGCACTAATATAGTTTGACATAAAAAATGAAAAATCTCTAATAAATTCTGACCCATTTTTACCTTTGGAGAACTCTGGAGTGAAGTCTTATCATATTGAGCAAGAGATGGATACAGCTTGAACTCTCCTAAAAATGAACACTTGACTCTTACATTTAGAAGGAAAACGAACCATCTCTTCTTTCCTGACTTGTATTAAGTTTTGGTATGTGCTAAAACAATTTATTTAGGTAGTTTTTCCTCCAAGAAAAGGATTAACACTTTAGCAAAGTGAAAGCTTTCCTTTTTAGTATAAAATATTCGATAAAAATCAATAATTTCTTTAATTTTGCAGCTTTTTAACCAAATTTTATGAGTTTATTTATATTTAATATGCTCTAAGTTAGCAACTAGGTAATATCGCTTCTAATCTTGGATTAGTTTTCAGTTACAAAAGGTATTAAAACTCAAGAGAATCTCTAAAAGTCTGAATTAGCTTTAAAAACGATCAATTAGGTCAGGAAGACTATACTTGGCACTAATCAAATAAAAGAAAACTTACCTGTACTTTACAATAAATACTGTTGTTGTATGAATCAAACTGGTTCTGATCTTGTCCATAAATATTAGGGAGCTTTATAAAGTTATTTAGACATTTTTCAGCTTCACGGTAGTGCTAGAATTAACTAACCCTTGCTTATAAATAGCCGCATTTAGATATCTTTTAGGTCTTCTCCTCTAATAACACAGACTGGTAGTCTAGTTCATTTAAAAGTAGTGAACATTTAAAGTTCTCGTATCAATCACAAAAGAGCATCAAAATTCAAATCTTTTTGTTGAAATACTTAGCTCTAGTGAAGAGAATGAGAATCAAAATTATTTGTGATTTCAAGAAATCACAAATTTTATTTTACCTTATCTCATAATGCCCTTGGCCTATAGGAAAAAGTAAAATATAACTCGAGCTGAAAGCAAAAGAAGAAACTTACTTGGATCGATGGGATGGACCACCACCCTGACGTAGTTATTATCGTTACTCTGATATAAAGTTACCCAATGGAAAGATTATTTTTAACATGCTAAGAATACGCATTTGAAATATCTAATCTATATTGACCAATTTTGTATTTCCTTTCCTCTACCGAAATTGGTTTTACCAAGGCGAAAGATACGATGCATCAATCTAATTGCTAAACGCCACTTATTTTCTTTATAACAAAGTTCCTTACTATGCCAAATCTTCTAGTTTGGCTATAAGGTCAGAGCATAATTTTACGTATTGTCTTTCCACATATTTTTGACAGTCTTGATTTCTCCAGTTGTTTGGTCGAGCTCGAGGTAGTAGAGCGAGAACTCGGACTAAAATTCAGATATCAGGCTTACTTTTAAAGTATTGGAAGCTATTATACCATCGATCTTTGGGAAAGCATTCATTGTGAATCCGTACACCTGTTAGAGGTTAGAAATAGAGATATGGAGTAAATTAATTTTAGAGCGCGTTAAGATAGGTTTGAAGTTATTTTAACGTGTTTAAAATAGATTTTAGATGCTAAAAGCGTACCTGGTAGCCTGGGAATGATAAGAAGTCATCTCCTGTAGGATGAGTCTCTATATAGCAATTTATGTTGGAGAATAGAATTCATTGGGAATTCTTGAAAAAATAAAAAAAGTAATAATTTGAATTAAATTCAAAAGAATTTATTTAGATAAATTTCTTGTGCTCCATGAATAGATAGAAGGATGGAGAATAGACTTTTACGGGGTTTAAAGAAACAGCATTTCATTATTATCATTTTAAAATATGTAGAATCCATCTCAGAATATGTAAGATGCTTGACTTTTCAACAAAATGAGAGGTTTACCTTGAGTATTCGTGAGCATATCGTACCTCACAAGCTTATATCTGCTATAATCCAGTTTGCTTCTTCTTACAAGATAAAATATTTCATCTTGCCTGATATCGAAGTAAGCATCTTCAAGCATGCCGAACAGGTTATTTCGTATCTAAAATTTAATGTTGAAGTATAAAATTTGGAGATTCATTATCAGATCAAATTAGTATTGCCAAAAATCTTTTAAGACCAAGAACTAAAATTTAGAAGTGAACCTATGGTCTGAGGTTTGTTACCTTGTTTGTAATAAAAAGAATAATGCATCTCCTTTGAAGCAAGACCTTCAGTGAAGGAGTATGGAATCAAAGAAGTCCTTCTTTGAGTGGGAATACACATAGAAATGGCGATAATGCCCAAAAGTATGATAGATATAGCCTTCATATTTAATAATAAATTACCAACCCCAACCTCTCTTTATGGGGTTTTGGGGTTTTGGGGTTTTGGGG